ATAATATATTATATTTCTCATTTACAAAAAAATACATTAAACTTTTCATTTTATAGAATAATTATTTTTAAATTAAAACAAGAACTTTTGACTTGATAGGGGTAATTTAGTCTTTTTCAGTTTTCTATTCAAGGGGGTTATGTGCTAATTTCATTCCATAAGGGTGTCATGTGCAAACTTTCAAAACCACGAGGGGGTTATGTGCCTAATTTCATACCATAAGGGGGTCATGTGCAAAATGTCAAAACCACAGAGGGGTTATGTGCCTAAATTCATACCATAAGGGGGTCATGTGCAAAATGTTCAAACCACAAGGGGGTTATGTGCCTAATTTCATACCATAAGGGGGTCATGTGCAAAATGTCAAAACCACAGAGGGGTTATGTGCCTAAATTCATACCATAAGGGGGTCATGTGCAAAATGTTCAAACCACAAGGGGGTTAAGTGCTTTAAATGGGCAACTTGCAACAAAAATACTGAATTCCGATGAATATCAATCGGAGTTTTGCTATGGGGGCAGTGTGCAACAAGAATAACATTTTGAAGGGGAATATTCACTTTTAAAACTTTTGAGGGGGTAAAGTGCAAAAAATAGAAATTTATTGGGGAAGATGTGCAATTTGCCCTTAATTAAATTTAGACTTTGTTCGATGTTTCCATACTTACCGAGTCGACTCGCAAATATTATGTTATCATGATTTATCTTGCCTTTTATGGAGTATTTTTACTAGACGCAATAGGGTCCGATGTTAAGTTTTCATTAGATTATTTACTCTTATGCTGGCTAATCTTATTTTCACAGCCAAACATGACCCTATTGTAATATAGTTGAAGTAAAAATATAGAGAACATGCACATATGATATGTATAGTTCCATTATCCTAATCAACAAGCATTAATATATATATATATATGTTAAAAGGTAAATTAAAAAGATGGGATGCTTTAATTTGAGTGGGTTGAAGAAGATGAATTGAATTAAGTAGATGCTATGAAAAGGATCTCCAAATAGCTGGGCCATTAAAATATGAATACATTTAATCAGCGGCAGGTAGATTAATTGCAACGTAACAATGCATGTCAGCTCAAAAGCAACAAGCAATTTTTGTTTTCTGCAAAGTTATCAGAATTTGTTTGCAAGGGGGGATGAATTTTATAAAGTTTGCAGGGATGTAGGCCCCTCTTTTTCAATTGTTTATCCATTATTGTGAAAATTACAGTTTATGTCCTTAAACTTTACCGCTAAAACGATTTATGTTCTCAAATATTTTAATCCACGAAATATGTTCTCAAACTTGTCACTTTTGATCACTTTATGTTCTGCCGTTAACGTCGGCAGCTAACTTCGACGGAAATAGCATGCGTGGCTCACGTGACGTCTATGTGGCCGTTAAATGTGACGTGGAATAATATATTGAATATTAAATGTTGACGTGGCACAAGAATATACTAATTTCCTCTAACTCACTCTCCCAAATCTCAAATCACGTTTCATTCCCATTCCCAAATTTTCAATCCATTTTGCATTCTTTCTCGAACCCATACTAAAATCGAAGTCATAAACCCATAAAAAATCAAAACATTCTCACATTTGAAGAGTTTTTCCCTTCTCAAAGAACAGCAGATTCACGTGCAAAAGATTTTAGAGGAAGCTTTAATTCTTCTCCCAACTCCGTCTCTAGAACGTTGGGGTCGTGTGATTTTTCACCTGTTGATGCTTGTGCCCCTTGTGGTCTCGATGAAGCGAGCACAAGGATGGTGAAGATGGCACAAATTCTACCCAACTCAGCAGTTTCAGAACCTGCCCAGAAGGTGTTTGACAAAATGTCTGAGCCAATTCCGAAAAAAAAAAAACATGCAGCACTTGTCAAAGCTGCATATAATTCTTTTCTCGCCAAGAATAGAGTGCCCAAGAACGGATTCTAGCTCCCCGACCTCCCCAACGAAGTGGAAGAATACATGATATTTTAGCCCGAAGATGAAAGTGAAATCGAGGAAACATTCGGCATTTGTTTATTGGGCTATTTTGCTGGTAAAACACCACGAAAAATGGCCATGGATTCACAGGTGATTCTGGGGAAAATTACATTTTTCGTCCTCATACTTTACTCACTCTTTCAAAACTGTCCCTAAATATTTTGGAGTTACAATAGTAGTCCTTAATCATGCCATTTTTTGACAGAATTGGTCCGCCGTTAATTTTTGCCGTTAAGTTTGATGGAAAATGGCATGTGCCTCTCACATGCCTTCAATTTAAAACACTACATGAAAATGGACTTTCAACAACACGCATTGCGTCTTGTTAAAACATATTTTTTATAATTATTATTTTTAATTAAAATTTAATATAAAATCGAAATCACGTAAATTCCAAAAAAATCAACTCATTTCGAAAATATTATTTAAAAAATCAAAATATTGTTTAAAAATTTAAAATATTGTTCCAAAATCGGCATTTTTGGAATTCAATTAAAATATATCGTTTCAAACCAAAATAAAAAAACCCCATAGGAATTGGGGAATTAGAAATCTCCATTCCAATTTTCACCTCTAGACAATTCCAAAAATCTCAATTGTGAGACAATATGTCGAGTTTTAAAAATATGGGTGAAAATTGGAAAGGATTTTTCTTATGCCGCCTCGCCTAGTTTGATAAAAAAATTATTTTATTTTAAAATAATATTTTCATTCAATTACCAAAAATTCCGATTTTAAAACACAATAATATTTTTTTAAACAATATTTCTGAATTTATTTTGAAAACAAATATCGAGTTTTAGATTATTAAATAAAGGTGAAAATTAGAACGGGGTTTTCTTACTCCGCCTATTACGATCAGATTTTTATTTTATTTAAAACAATAATTTTCATTTGGATTCAAGAAATTCCGCTTTTAAAACATTATATTATTATTTTAGACAATGCTTCTAAAAATATTTTGAAACAATTTATCGAGTTTTACATTATTAAATTAGGGTGAAGATTGAAATGGAGGTTTCTTATCCCACCTATGCGGATCGAATTTTTATTTTATTTTGAAACAATGTTTTCATTTGAATTCCGAAAATCTTGATTTTGAAAGAAATATTTCATTTTTTAAAACAATGTTTCAATTGTTTAAAGAATATTTCTCAAAATAATTTAAAACAATATATATATATCGATTTTGTTTTTTTGGAATTTATATAATTTCGAATTTCAATCAAGTTTTAATTATGAAAATTATGTTTTAACAAGACGCAATGCGTGTTGTTGAAAGTCCATTTTCATGTAGTGTTTTAAATTGAAGGCATGTGAGAGGCACATGCCATTTTCCATCCAACTTAACGGCAAAAATTAACGGCGGACCAATTATGTCAAAAAATGGCATGATTAAGGACTACTATTGTAACTCCAAAATGTTTGGGGACAATTTTGAAAAAGTGGGTAAAGTATGAGGACGAAAAATGTAATTTTCCCGGTGATTCTGCTATTTTCGAATTTCACCTCAATTGAAGGATTCGAAATGGGGTTTTAGGGATTGGATTTATGGGTTCATTGGGGATATGGAGAATTAGGGATTTTAGAATAGAAATAGGGGAGGAGAATGACGTGTCACTCCACATCACGTTTCGTTGACCAAGTAGGCACTGGGTGTTGTACAACTCGACATTTAATGGCCACATAGACGCCACGTCTGTTATTTCCGTCGAAGTTAGCTGCCGACGTTAACGGCAGAACATAAAGTGATCAAAAGTGGCAAGTTTGAGGACATATTTCGTGGATTGAAATGTTTGAGGACATAAATCGTTTTAGTGGTAAAGTTTAGGGACATAAACTGTAATTTTCCCTCCATTATTCAAACTAATGTTTCAAGCTTGCAATATTTGAATATTTATTTGATGCAATATTCTTGGACCAAAACAACTGTTCATTTTTTAGTACACGGTAACCTACTTTGTCAATGAGTCGATTTCGACTCGAGCCTGACCGATTTGGTGAGCTCGATCCAAATTCGACGAGTTGGAGCTCCAGAGAGAGAAGGAGAAGAAGAGAGAAAAAAGAGGCCCACAAATTGTGTTGAAATGACCAAAATACCCTTACATTAAGCATTTGTATCGCGTGTGCGTCGAAAATGAGAAGATTTGCCAGAATATTCCCCTTAGGTGGTTATGCGCGTCAAAAAAGCGGTTTTGGGTGTGCCCGTGCAACTTTTTTTAGTTAAGGTGGCAAAACGCAAAAAAGGGCAAAGTACATGTGGCAAAATGCAATTAACCCTAACTTATATAACTTAACGCCTCAAAACAAGAGTCTTACGACTTACACTGGGTGGATTTGAACCGTAAATCTACACATCATCACACACACCCATATATATGTGTGTTTAGTGGATAGTTATTTAATCAAATCTACAGTTTAAATTCATCTGATATAAATAATCAGGTATAACATCTAATTTCCCGCCTGACAAAATGGATTATTACAAGTTCTCACAAAGGAACAGTTAATATTCTTTTCCAAAGCATCCAATAAGAAATTTAGGTCCGGATTTTAAGTCCAGTCCCAGCCTGCCGTCGTGGGGCGTTTTAGAACCAAGATTTTTTTTT